ATATCAGGCTTTGCACTCGATAATTAATTTTAAAAAATTAGCATAAAGTTCAAAAAAAGAATAATTTCTTGAAATAAATAATTGAATTCCTGAAAAGAATTTTATTATTTATAAAAATAATTGAATTCTTGAGAAGAATTTTATAAAAATCTATTTAAATAATTGATTTTTTTCGAAAAAGATTAGGAAAATTTTTTTTAAATAATTGAATTTCTGTGAAAATTTTTTTATTTATGAAAATAATTGAATGTTTGCGAAGAATTTTATAAACATTTTTTTTTAAATTATTCAATTCTTTTGGGAAATTTTTTATTAAAATACTAGATATTAAAAATCATTTAATTTCGAAAAATTTGTGAAAATAATAATTCTGCACTGAAAAATACAGAAAGTATAAAAGTTTGTTAGAAAATATGTATCTTTTTCCTAAAATCGACCAATAGGGGTAATTTGCATTTTTAGCGAATTCCTCTGAAGTAAAAAATATTTTCTTATAGCGTACTTTCAATTTCACTCGCATATTTATAATGAGAAGAGGCTCATCATATTCTTATATGTATGGTCGTTGCTAGGTAATTTTCTTTTTGGTTTCTTCTTCTTCTTCTTCTTCTTCTTTTTATATTTTTTACTCCCATTAAAGCACTTTCTTTGGTGTTTGGGGGGATAAACTTCTCTATTTGCACTTTAAGTCACGCAATATGCCCGAGTGGTCGATAACCTTTTATGTTCCTTACGACCTCATTGATTCTAAAAAATGCATGGGAAGCAATTTATATCGAGTGTTTTCTATTGTAAGGGGAAAAGTTGTAACACACTATATGCAAATTCTATATAGTAACAAAAGTTAATCGCGTGCCTATTCTTCTATATATATACGTGTATAGGAATGCGAAAATTTCTTCAACCGTAAAATAATTCAAAACGATCATATTACATAAGGGAAGCCATTTTTTTTTATTTCCAACTTCCATGTTTGATTGTAAAGAAAAACTTTTATTCTTGATGTTTTAATTATTATGTTATTGTTACTAATTATGTTTTTGTTAAGGGCAGGCCTTTGTACTTATATATTTATTATTTACTATTACTTTTTTTACGATTTGCAACAATGAAAAAAAAAATTTATTTGGTTCAAATAACCGATTACTTGACTATTATCAATTAAATGTTTACTTGAATCAAATAATTCTTATTTGAGTCGATTATTAAATGGTATTTGAACCATTTCAATATTTGAAGCAAATACTATTTCATTGACTCAAATAAAAATTATTTGAGTCAAGTAAATATTTAATTGAATGATATAAATAAATATTTATTTGAGTCAGAAATTTTTATTTAAATTAAATAAATTGTTTTTATAATTATTCATCTTATTATTTGCTGAAAAGGCATCAATTTTTTTTTGCAGGATTGCCACAAGTCAGGAAAGTCGAGGAATTCAGGGAAAAGTCAGGGAAATTAGAATTGGTCGGGGAAAGCAGGGAAAAGTCTAGGATTTTTATTAATAATACTGGAAAAAATTTAATTTTTAGAATTTATAAGAAAATTCTGAATTTTTGTGTCTTTTTTGTTTGCCTCATAAACTATGAAATTGACAAAAATTCTAATACAAAACCTTCAATTTTTTCTATTTTATATTCTATTCTATTTCTATTTTTCTATTTTATAAAAATTCTCGTCAAAATTTCAATTATTTTTATATATAATAAAATTCTTCTCCAAAATTCAATTATTTTCAAAAATTTTCCTCATCTCAATTATTTTTAATATCTACTATTTCAATAAAATTTTCCAAAAGAATTCAATTATTTAAAGAAAATTTTAATAAAAATTTCACAGGAATTCAATTATTTACCAATTTTTTATAAATTTCTTCGAACCAATTCAATTATTTTTAATTTTTTAATTAAGTTTCTCGAAGGAATTTAAATATATTCAGAAAATTGAAGAAAATGGTTCTAAAAAATCCAATTGTTTCGAAAAATTTAAATAAAATTATTTTAAAAATTCTATTATTTAAACAAATTTTGACAAAATTCTTTACAAGATTTAGTTAATAAAATTTTCCTATACGATTCAATTATTTTTAATACAATTCTTCTTAAGAATTAAATTATTTTCCGAGTTATTTTCACAAATAATACATTTTTTTTATCGGAATTTAATTATTTAAAAAAAAATTGAATAAAATTCTTCACAAAAAATCAATTATTTTCATAAATAAAAAAATTTTTCTCAAGAATTAATTTATTTAAAAAAATTTGAATAAAATTCTTCACAAGAAACTAATTACTTTCATAAATAATAATATTTTTCTCCGGTATTCAATTATTTTCACAAATAAAATTCTTCACAGGAATTCAATTATTTAAAATTATTTAAAAGATTTTTCTAAAATTCTTCTCAAGAATGCAATTATTTTAAAAACTTTATTAAAGTTCGGTGACAAAAATTAAATTATTTTCATAAATAATAAAACTCATCGAAGGATTTCAATTATTTTGAATATAATTTTAAATTAATTCCGCTAAAAATGCAATTATTCTTAAAAATTTGAATAAAATTCTTGGAAAGAATTTAAATATTTGAAAAAATTTGATATAATTTGTTTCTTAGAGTGTAATAATTATTTTCAATTCATTTTTAATTACATTTCTCGAATGAATCTTATTATTAACAAAAATTTTAATACAATTCTTCGTAAAAATTAAATTATTTAAAAAAATTTTTGATAAAATTCTTCATAAAAATTCAATTTTAAGAAATGTTTAATTATTTAATAAATTATTTATTTTTGTATTTAAATAATTGAATTCTCGAATAATTTACTAATAAAAATTTATTAAAAAGTGAATTTCACTTAAAATTTTGAAAAGGGTTCAAATTAAAATGTTTGAAAATTTCAATTTATAGTTACAATATTCTGATGATATAAAATAATGATTTTATCACTCTGTCATTTTATAATAATATTCTCATAAGTTATTGAATTTCAGAAGGTTTAAATTTGAAAATCTTAATTCCTATGGAAAAATAATAATGATTAAATATTTATTTAAAAAAGAAGTTGTGCATGTTTTCGAATAATTTTACTTTTGAAGAAATTTGTAAAAAAATTTAATAGAACACTTTTTTGAGTATCTAATAATTTTTTTATTGAATCAAAATATTCTTCTGGGTCAGGGAAAAAATCAAAATCAGTCAGGAAAAAGTCTGGAAGTCAGGGAAACAGAAAATTAAATTTTTGTGGCAACCCAGTTTAATGAATTGATATTTATTATTATACATCAGTGTGGGCAAAAAAAAAAAAAAAAAGAAGAAGCTTTTAAAATCGGTTTTTCCCAATTGAATTCAACCCCCGCTTGGTTATTTACACTGCGCGTTCGCTGTAGAATTTCCATAAATCTGAGTCTGTGGATTGGAATTGGATACTTTTTGTCGCATTTTGAGCACTTGCTCAACCGCTATAGTTGGCTGACCAATAAACCATAGCTAATGACATGGCATTGCATGTATAGTTGTTGACGCATACACGAATGTCGACCGCAAATTAACGTATGTACTTGAAACCTTGTGCTCATTTCTCGCTAACAATGATCCTATGGTATATAAAGTGGGATAATGATTTTTCTCAGTAGACGTTAATTTCGGTGACGTCTTTTTTTCCATTTGAAATTAAACTTTAAAGAAAAGAGGAAGAAAAACAAATAGGAGAGAAAATAAACAGAACAAGTTTAATGAAATAATTATTATGAATGAAGACGTAAACAGTAAATTTTCAGGGCTAAAACCTTTGAGCGGAAGAAGAATTTTTTTTCTTATTCTTTTTCCCTCACAATTTTCTTAATTTTATACAGGAAATAATATTTTCGATGAAGAAAAAAATTACGGAACTATTCTAGTATTCTAAGTTTTATAAATGAATTTTTTTTATAAAATTAAATATAATTTTAATAAAAACAAGAATTTTATTTAAATTTCATTTATGCTTTATTTGCTTTTTATTAAATATTTAAATAAATATTAAATTGTAATATTACTATTAGAAATTGATTTTTATTTTATTTACTTTTTATTTTTCCTTTCGCATAAAAATACGGAAATAATTTTTTATTTTTCTTACTTTGTTAAAAATTTTAAATATTAAATTTTTATTTTATTTATTTATTTTTATTTGCTTTTTTGTTAAAATAAATATTTGTTTGTTTTATTAGAAATAAATTGTGTGTAATTTTGCGATAATTTATATCGCGAAAAATACTAAGAAAATTAAAAATAAATATAAAGTATTTCTACGTTTACATTATTATTAAAAGAAGATAAAAAAAGTTATTAACTATTATTTAAAGTAGAGTAATAAATATTATTCACTAATGTTTTTTCTCTTTCTTGTTTATTTTAATGGGGAAATTATAAATATATAGTAAAGGATCATTAATTTTTTTTTAATAATTTGCTTTTTTCTTAAATGAAAATTAAAGGTTTATTTATTTTATTTATATTTTATTCATGAACAAACGGGACTTGTTTATAATTAGTTTATTATTACATACTTTATTTTATTCTTAAATGTTTTATTATTTGTAATTTATCTTTAATTTTATTGATTAATTTAATTTATTTTTATTATTAATTTGTTTGGTTGGGAATTCTTTAAAATTAGTTTGGTTGGAAATTTTTTTAAGTTTGTTTGGTTTGGGGATTTTGTAAAATTTGTTTGGTTCGAAATTTTTTTAAATTTGTTTGTTTGGTAATTTTTACAAATTTTTTTGGATGGAAATTTTTTTAAATTAATTTTTTAAAAGGTCCTGTAAAATTATTTTGTTGTTTAAATAAAAAAATGGAGTAATAAAATAAAAATACTTTTTGGTAAAATTTTCTTGCAGTAGAAATGTTATATTTATATATAGCAAATAAGTAAGAAAATTGATTTTTTTCTTCTCTATATACACACGTACCCATATGTGATATAATAATGTAATTATTTTATTTTACAGTAAAAAAGTTATCTCTTGCCATCTTGCTTTTGGGAAATCTACTGCTACCAACAATTGTCGTTGGTTATTCATCGGGTGCACCAAAGAAAACATGTTTTTCAATGGTACCTGGCCATCCGAATACGGCGAGACAAAATTCACAACCTCCTTATGAAATTTGGCCATCGAGTGCAGGCAAAAGAGTTCGATTAATTCTCGGCAGTTCAGAGGGACTTCCGTATCAGGGCTTTTTTATTGTTGCCCGAGATATTGATAATGGACGTTATGTCGGTGAATTTTCAAACTTGCCACGTTTGACGAAACACGTTCAATGCTCCGAAGGTGCTAATGTAAGTTATTTTTCAATTATTTCTATTATAAAATATTTTATTAGTAATTTTATCAACTATTTTATAAAAAAAAATTCTTAACAATTTTTTTTTCATTTCAATTATCGACAAGTTACAGAAAGAAAAGAAAAAACAAGAAATGTCAAATTTGACTTACAATAACAATTTATAATAAACGGGACAAACCGTTAATTTTTATTTCTTCTTCTGTAAAAAAATTAATATTTTTGTTTTTTTTAAATAAATTTATATTTTTATTTTGGAGAAAAAAAATAAGTATTTTGTGGGTATATTTTTTGGAAACAATAGTTAATATTTTTATTTTTGGAAAAAGAAAATAAATATTTTTTTATATTTTTTGGAAAGAAATTAATATTTTTATCTTGGAAAAAGAAAATTAATGATTTATTCGGTTTTTTGAAAAAAATAAATATTCTTATATGTTTTTGGAATGAAATCAGTATTTTAATTTAGGAAAAATATTAATATCACTTGAAAGAGAAAATAAATATTTTTATACAGTTTTTGGGAAAAAATTCACATTTTTATAGATTTTTCGAAAATAAAATAGTTTTACAAATATTTTTTAGAAAAAAAATAAATATTTTTTGTCATTTAGAAAAAGAAAGAAAAACTTGCAATAAAAATAGAAAAATATAATTTTCTTGATTTTTCTTTTTTATAAAAAAAAAAGATAATTCACAGAAGTTCTCAATTGAAAGTACCGAGAAAACTTGAGATATATAATAGATACTTGAAAATGAGGGCAAACGTGTGACAGAATTGAAACGAACTTGTTTTCTCTGAATGAAGAGAGTTGTAGAAAAATAAGCGTTGTGATTTTATGACATTACAGTTTTTTAATGGAACAAAATTGCGCGAAATTCATTTTTATTTTTCCCTTTCATTACAATTATTATTATATCGTTATTATTATTATTTTTTTTAATATTATATTATTATATATATTATTTTTTTATCTATGATAAATTTGTATTTTCTTTTAGAAATAATTTTCAACTTGAGAACAACTTTTGAAATGTAAATGCGATGTTTCAATTTAAATTTAAATTAAAAATTAACCTACTTTATTCAGTTATTAGTAATTGTAATGAAAGAAAAATTAATTTAAAAATTAAATTCAATAAATTAAAATAAGTAAATTGAGTAAAGAATTGTTAAATTTGAGAAAATAGTGAATATGTGAAATAATTTCTAATATTAATTAATTTAATCATGAAAAATTATTAATTAGTTAATAAAAAATGAATTCAATGAATAAAAAAAGTGAATTGAATAAAGAATTGTTAAATTTGAGAAAATAGTGAATTGAGAATAATTTTTATTAAAACTATGAGAAAATGTAAAAATTGGAAGTATTGTTCTAATGGTTTTTTTTTCAGAATGCAGTAACTCACGTTAGTAAGGAAGACAAGAGGAATATGGAATTCGACTGGCAAGCGCCAGATAATTACGAAGGAAATGTTGTTTTCAAGTGAGTATTATTTATTAACTTGGAGAATAAAATCACTTGTAGTTAAAAATATTTTTTGAAAAGTCTTACAATTTTCTACTCTTGAAAACAAGTAAATATATAGAATATACAGTTAACAAGGAAACATATAGTATATAAGTTAACGAGTAAATATATAGTTAACAAGTTTATATATAGTAGCAAGTTTCTCAAAAAGTAATTTCATTTCATTAAATAAAAAAAAAAGGAAAAAAAATGAAGTAAATTAAAAGAAACGTTGAAGTGTTAAAAAAAGAAGAAAATTATGAAATCCTTTTTTAAATAAAATGCTTGAGAATTGAGGGCTTTTGAAAAAAAGAAAAAAAGAAAAGAGTATAAAATCGAATTTTGTGGTGGACTGGCAAGCATGACAAGTTGTAAATTCATTTTCTCTCTCGGTGGTTTTCACGACGATGCAGTCGTTACTAATCACCTTTTCCCTGTTATTACCTTTTCATCTCGTATTTCGCTTTTGTTAGTTCTTTTCTTTTCACTGACTTTTTTAAACTTTAGTGTGTTTTTTTTCTCCTCTCTCCCCTCGCAGCTCAACTTTCCTCCAGGACTATGCCACGTATTGGATTGGGGTGGAATCCCCGCGAATAACAGTCTTGAAAAGTTCTGCCGTTGTGGACACTTCTGCGCCTCAAATGAAAAATCCTAGAACGACGACTCCACCTTATTATCGTCCAACCCCACTGAATGTAAGTATTTAAGTTTTTTCTCTTTCTTTTTTTTTTTTTTTTTTGAATTCATTATTCGTTTAATAAAAATTTTATACAGAGGAGAATTTTTTATTCAATAGAATTTTTACTTCTTTTATTTATCTGATTTTCTATTTTTTAATTCTAAAATGTTTTTATTAACGGAAATAATTATCAATTTAATATTTAATAATTATTATTAATCTTTATTAATAATCGTTGTGTTCCGGTAATCTGTTCGCAGTTTGTTGTTGATTGCTTTTTTGTTTCCTAACTTTTTTAAAAAAATTTCTTTTTAATTTGGTATTTTCAATTTTAAAATTAATGGTGAAAGATGTTTATTGTTTTTTCAAAAATCAATCCACATGTATTCAAAAAATATTATTAAAATGTGAAGCATTTAAAATTAAAGTATTGAAAATTATTGAATTCTTACTAAGAATTTTATTAAAATTTTAAATAATTTTGGAGAATTTCTTAAAATTTTTTTTTAAATAATGGAGTTTCTTTAATAATTTTAATTGAAAATTTTGATAGCAATTGAAGTTTATAAAGGAGAATTCTATTAAAATTGTTTTGAAAAGAATTAAATTTCTGCAAAGAATTTTACTATTTATAAAAATATTTGAATTTTTGCGAAGAATGTTAATATTTATAAAAAGAATTGAAATTGTTTTGAAGGATTTATTGAGATTTTAAAAAATAATTGAATTTATTCGAAGTGTATTAATTTTTTTTTAATAAATTTTATAAATTTTTATTTTTAAATTGAATTTTTACAGGGAATTTAATTGAAATTATTTTGGAAATAATTGAATTCCTGCAAAGTGTTTTACTATTTATAAAAATAATTGAATTGTTTCGAAGGATTTATTATAATTTTCAAAAATAATTGAATTCTTTCGAGACATTTTTTTAAAATTAAAATTATTTAAAAATTTTGCAATTTGCATAACAATAATAAATTGAATATCACGTTCCGCGCTTAACATTTGCTAGTTAAGATTATGATTTTGATTTTTATTACATTTTGAACAAAATTATCATGTAGGTAAATGATATTTTCTTTAAAAGAACTTTTAGTTTTTGAAAAAATAGAATTTTATGTTCTTAAAGTTCGGATCGTTCAAATGCAGGAAATTTATTTATTTCTTCTTTAAACTGAAATTTTATTACAATTCTCAATTTTATTTTTTATTAAAAAATAGATATTGTACAAATTTTTCAACTCTTTTTCAAAAAAAAATTTGTTTTGTTAAAAAATTGTGATGGTCCCAGAAATACAAATGGTCAAAATTTATTTTTTTTTTCTTCTTTTTCAAAAACAAAAACAAGAAATTGTATAAAAACTGTAATTATGAAATAGAAATTACGCGAATCTTTTTCATTATTTTCATTTCTGGAAAAAAAGGAAAATAGGATTCTGTATAAAAATTGTAATTAAAAATAAAAATACAAATAAAAATACGAAGGTAAATAAACGGACTTTTGTAAAAGAGAATAAAATTCTAGGTAAACATTTGATGTTTGAATAAAAGTTAAATTAAACGAAAATTCGCGACAAAATTTCAAAAAGATAATGCGTCCATAAAATAAGAATTTTCTTTTTATTGTATAATTTCTCTGATTTCCCTTCTAATATATTCCCGTTGTCCGGAATTTGAAAATTCAACAATGGTTAGTGAAACGACAAGATAAATTGAAGACAAACGAAATGCAAAAGTCAGCAAGGTGCGGTAATTGTGAGTCGTGATTATTCTACCATGAAGTCTGCTTCCCGTACCATATCTAACTTTAAGTTGAAGGCTGGTCGTCAAACTTTATATAGACACACACACATACACACTAATTTTTGATTCTGACTTTAATTATTCCAAGTTCTTTTCTTAATATTGAAATTTTTATTTAATGCGGAATTTCTTTTTCTTCTTCTTTTACAGATCGAGTATGGCCAGGATTTATTTTACGACGGTTGTGGGACGACGAAAATTTGTTTCGGCGCTCCGTCTGGTTGCGAGAGGGAGAGAAATTGCAAGGCTGTGGTTGCTGTTATTGTTCGTGGTGAACGCTACATTTTTGAAATGCAAGGAAAAGATGCTAGATACGTTGCTGTTGGACTGTCCACTGACAGTAAAATGGTAATTTTTCTCCTTTATCTGCGGATATTCATTTTTATTCATAAACTTATGTGAATGAATAATTTTGTACAAATATAATTTGATTTAATGGAATTTTTTTAAGTTTAACTATTTTTTAAGTTTAATTATTTTTGAGTTTCAAGTATTTTTAAGTTTATTTACTTTGAAGTTAAATTATTTTTAAGTTTATAATTATTTTAAAGTTTATTTATTTAATTTTAAGTTTGATTATTTTTTAGTTGGATTATTGTGAATTTTAATAGTACAATAATTATTCGAGTGTGTTTGTAATTTTTATTCTTAATGAAAAAGTATTTTTCTATACGAGAAAAGAATAATCAATTTTTTGTATTTTTAGGGTGATGACAGTGTCGTTGAGTGTGTGGACGAGGGAGGCCGAGTTGGTCTTTATATGTCCTGGAACACCGGAAGAAGCAACCAACGAATTCGCACGGTATGCAAATGACAATTTGGAAATTTCTTAAGGACGCGTGACACATAATAACGTCATCAGACATATGACAAATATTGATCTTACCTTCAACTTTGATTTTTTGAGTTGCAAACATTTGTTTAAATTAATAATTCAGTTAATATTTAACTTAATTAATTTATAATAAATTAAAAATAATAAATTCTATTGATAATCGAAAGAAAGAAATTATTGCAATTTTTAAACTAAGAAAAATAAATTCGATTAATTAATTTATTCAAAGGAAATAATAAAGAAAATAATTGCAATTTTTTGTTTAATTAAAATTTCTTCAAATTAATAATTCCGTTAATATTAAATTCAATTAATAATAAATTCGATTAATTGATAGTTGAAGGAAAAAAAATGCTGACAATTAGGCTTAGGAGAATGTCTGAGGATTCGTCTGATATAACGGGATTATAATTGTCACACGACCTTATAATAAAGTTTCCTCCAAACTAAAAGCTACGGATGAAACTTAATAATTTGAAATCTTAATTAAAACATTTCATATCTAAAGATACATCTCGACAGTTATATTGAGAAAAGTTTATTGAATATGAAACTGCTATTTTAATTAATGCAAAGTCCAATATCGAAGTTCCGATTGTTATTCAATTTGCGAATTGAAATCTCTATTGTGGGATGAATATGATCTTGAATTACGAGAGTGCTGTTGCATTAATAATAATGGGATTGGGAGGGCAAAAGAAAAACCGAGTATTTTTACACTGAATTTTTTTTTTTGCAAGTAATTATTATATTTTCAATTCACAATCAATTTAATTGGGATAATTTTTAATGAGTTTGAAACATTCATTACATTTATATGTATACATTCTTGAATTGTAAATATTACGACGAATCTATTTAATTAATGAAATGTTTTTTTTCTTTTGCAGCCGGAAGGTTCAGTGAAACTTGAATCAAGCTCGATTCGTGATAATACAGTGTCTTGTACATTTTCAAGAGATAAAAGGACCATTATTAATGGACAAGAATTCGATCTTGTTCGCACACCTTATAAACTTCTCGTGGCATCTGGAACTGGAGTTGATGGTAAGTTTAGGATTTTAATTTAGAAAAAAATAAAATAGTTTTTATCTAATTTTCGTAAAGTTTCTCGATCTGAGGTCAGTAATTTAAAAATAATTTAAATTATTCTTAGAATTTTGATTTTTAGGAAAATTTTTATTCACTTATGATAGATGGAAATTTATTTTTTAATTTAAAATCTTCATGGAATTTTGATTTTTAGGATAATTTGTATTGATTGTTGATTTATTTTTTAGTTAACGGCATTGGCTTTCACGATATTGTTTATTTGCCATCGTCTGAGGGAAGACTATTGTCTGACGTCGGTGAAATAAAAGCGGCCAGTAATATTTTATTCCGAATCCATGGCGCTCTGATGTTAGCTTCTTGGATTGGTACAGCATCCGTTGGAATCCTTCTTGCGAGGTATTACAGACAGACGTGGGTTAACTCTCAGTGCTGCGGAAAGGACCACTGGTTCGTCGTAAGTGTCCTTCACATTCTAGGATAAAGTATAAACTAGTAGCTTTCAAGTTTCTCTCGAGCTTTTTCTCTGTACAGTTAGAAAAAAGAAAGAAAGAAAGAAGAAGAAGAACAGAAAGAAAGAATGAAAAAACATAAAAGACAGTGAAAGAATTCTATTTTCTCGAGATGACAAACCCAATAACTCGAGGAATATATACGCATTTAAAAGAGTTTTCTGTGAGGCAAAAGAGAAAAATTTCTATTCGGTCCCAGTTATTTTTATTTGTATCTTCTTTTCTTTTGATAAATTTTTTATTTTTCTTTGTTGTAAATAGAATATTTGTTAATATTTCGACTTTTGGAAATTTTCGTTCTTTTTTAAGTCGTTAATTTCTTTGCAATGGTAAAATTACTTTTTTTAAATAATGAAATAAATAATGAAATAAATTTTTGTTCTTCATAATAAATTAATAATTGAAATTTTTTTTGTATAGTGGCATCGATTTTTCATGATCATCACCTGGTTGATGACGCTCGCAGGATTCATTGTAATTTTCGTCCAACTGGGAAGATGGAGTGATGAAACAATACACGCATCCTTGGGACTAGCAACTACAATCTTGTGTTTCATTCAGCCTTTCATGGCGGCCTTGAGGCCCCATCCGGGCGCCCCACGAAGGTCACTATTTAATTGGGCCCATTGGTTCGTTGGCAATGCCGCCCATATCTGTGGAAGTGAGTCCTCTTTCTCTCTAAATAGAAATTTTCGAAATATTCGTTGATTACAACATAATTTTATTGGAAATTATTTTCTACCTCTAAGGACACATATATTTTACATTTCATTTCCAAAAACGAAAAGAACACATCTTAACTTTTCGGAGTCCAACGAATTCCCACTTAAGAAATTTATTCTGAAATGACAATACAAAATTTTGTCTTACAAAATTAAAACTAACTTTTTTAATTAATTTTCTTTTTAAATGTTTTGAATTTTCAAATTAATGTATTGAAAGTCATTGAAGTCTTGCGAAGTTTTTTTTTAACAAGTTTGAAAATAATTGAATTAAAAATAATTCGAAGAATTTTAAAAAGCAAAAGAATTCAATTATTTTTAAAAAAATTGATAAAGTTCATCCAAAATTCAATTATTTTCATAAATAATAAAATCTCCATAGGAATTCAATTAATTTAGAATAGCATTGTCGAAAAAATCAATTATTATAACAAAATTTTTATATAATTCTTCACTATAATTCAATTACTTTTACAAATAATAACAGTTTTCATGGAAATTCAATTATTAAAAAATTATTTTTAATAAAATTCTAAGCAAGAATTCAATTATTTTCATAAATAATAAAACTAATTGCAGAATTTCAATTATTTTTAATACTATTTTAAATTAATTCATCAAAAAATTCAATTATTTTCATAAATAAAGTTTTCGACAAGAATTTAATTATTTTAAATAAAATTTTCATAATATTTATTATATTTCGAAACAAATATTTATTTAAAACAATTTTTATAAAATTCTTATGAACAATTCAATTATTTTTAAAAATAAGAAAATTTTTTGCAGAAATTCAATTATTTTTAAAGATTTGAATAAAATTTTTCGCAATAGTTCAATTATTTTCAACTATTTTAATAAAATTATTCAAAAGAAATCAAATATTTTAAATAAAATTTTAATTCAATTTTTTAAAACTAATTCAATTATTCTTTTAGATTTTAATAAAATTCTTGGAAAAAATTCAATTATGTCTATTAAATAAAATTCTTTGCTAAATTCAATTATTTTCATAAATAAAAATATTCATCACAAGAATTCAATTATTTTTAAAAGTAATAAGTTTCTTCTTGTAAATTCAATTATTTAAAGAAATTCTAATAATATCGTTCGCAAGAATTCAATTTTATTATTTTCATAAATAATAAAATGCTTTGAGGAATTCAATTATTTTCGAAAAAATTTAATAAAATGCCACACAGACATTTAATTATTCTTAAAAATTTTTATTAGTATTCTTTGTAAAATTTAATTATTTAAAAAAAATTTTCGCAATTCAATGATTTTCAATATCTGCTATTTTCATAAAATTTCCAAACATAATTAAATTATTTAAAAAATTTTTGGAAATATCTTCGTAAGAATTCAATTTAAAATTGTTATTGAACATTTTAAAAATATTTTAATTGAACAAAGAATTATTTCAATTTTTTAAAATAATCCCTTCTGTTAATAATTATAATTATAAATTTGATTATTGGATTTTATAAAAATTTTATTGATAATAATTGAATTGTTTTGAAGAATTTTTAAAAATTTTAGAAAATAATTGAATTCTTTCGAAAAATGTTATTAAAATTTAAAGAAATATACGACTCTTTTCTTGAAATTTTATCAAAATTGTATTAAAAATGCTTGAAATCTTGAGAAGAATTTTAATTTTATTGGTTTTTTAATTCGAAAGTTTAATTTACGTTTCTGGTTTTTATTGCAGTCGATTTCTGTAATTTTAATTGAAAAAATTTCGTTCATTTGAAAGTTCAGAACTTTTGGTACAGTAATTAGACAATAAATTTATTGGAAATGAAATTTCTTTTTTATAATGTCCATATAATTTTATTTTCTTGTCAAAATAAAATATTTCTTTTTGGGGAAAAGGGAGAAGATTAGGGAAAATTAATAATAAAAAAAGTATTCACTATTTGGAAAAAGAAAATTTAATGACTATAAATTAAAAAGTTGGCTTAATGAATTAGTTTTAATTTTTCGTTGTTGTTTTTATTTTTTTCTTTTTTAAAATAATTAATGGATTTGTCTTATTTTCAGTAATTGCCATTTTCTATGGATTCAGTCTTGGAATAAGAAGCAACCTGACTCCAGATTGGGTCATTTGGATTGTTGTCGCGTACGTGGTTTTCCACATTCTGACTCATCTCTTCCTCACGGTAAGGAAACCAAAAGGCCAATTTACATATTACTAGATTAAGGGCGGTGACAATCCACTAGTCTTTTCTGGAATTTAATTAAATTAATGGATTTCAAACCCTCATTCTCGCATTTTCATTCCCCTATTCGAATGACATTATGATTCTTCAATCACATAAAATTAACGCATTTCACTTATTGGAATTCTCATTTTTCTCCAAAATTAATTTCTACGCGGGAATTCTTTTCGACTTTTTGTCATTTATTCCGTAAAATTAAATTCTTTTCGAATAAAAAACTTATTTTTTCAGACTTTATAATAGATTTACTTTTTAGAAATTTTAGATTCTTCTAATAGAATTTTATTTTTCGATTGGTAGTTTTTCTAAATGTTTCTATCTCCCTTTCGTACGTTACTTTATTTGCTTCTTTAAATACAAATTTTTGCAATAAAAAATTGCGTCACGTTTTAAAAATGTAAATTGTTTAATTTTGTTTTTGCTTTTTAATAATTTGTGGTTTTTGAAAATAGGTGGTAAAAAATTGAACGTTCGGAAATTGTGGATCATAAATTTTTGCACTGTATTTAAAAAAAATTAGAATATCTCAAAGTGAGAGAAATTTTAATATCCGTTATGTGTATATTGATATAAAAAATGCGTCACGATATGAGGGTTTCATAATTCGCTTAGTTATTGTGGAGTTTAATTGAATGGAGTAATTAACGTGAAAGCCCAACACAGAGAATTAAAATTGTCTTCCATATATATAAACTTTCATTTTGATTAAAAGGAAATAGGTGTAATAAAATTTATTTAAAAAAAAAGTAGTAAAATATATTTGAAAAACAAGAAAATATATTCGAAAAAAAAGAAAATATATTAAGAAAAAATATATATCTCTTTAAAAAAAGAAAAATATATAATTAACCAAAAGTTTTGAACGCTCAAATGAATGAAATATTTTTGTATTAAAAACTAGTTAAAAATATTTTCATAAATTACTGATTGCAGTACAAATTATAAAGAAATTCTACATTTAGAAACTATGTAATTTATTTTTGTTTATAGTGACATTAAATTATTGCAATAAAAAATTAATTTAAGAAAGAAATTAATAAATTTCCTTCATTTGAACGTTCGAAACTTTTGGATCATGATAGTAATGTAGTAATTTTGTAGTAATTTTTTTTGAAATAGGTAAAATATAATTGTTCTTTTTAAAAAGTAAAATATATTTTTTAAAGGAGTAGAAAAATATTAAAGTATTATTTTAGTAAGCATTTTCTTTTTTTTCCTTTACTTTTGAGGGTTGAAAAAATACTGTGGGTGAATATTTTGTAAAGCATGGGTGCATAAATTTAAAATTCGTCTCCATGTTTTTAGAGTGATTTATGTGACGTGAACATGCTTTGGGCGGGAAAAAAAATCAGAAAGTCCACAAATGCAGTGATATTTAAATAAATATACAAGAATCATTAATTTCACATTAATAAAATGTAATTTTAAACATTGACAAAAAAAAATTGTTTTATTTTGCAGTTTACTGGCTGTATTTCGGACAGACAAGGAAGTCAGAGAGTTAATTCCTTCCCCATGAAAGATATGCATTCACGTGGGTCAATGTCGCATCCAGATGCCAGGCGGGACGCTCCCGTATGTGTCGTAAAAAATATTCTTCTCTTCTCCAAATATTACTATTTTATTTTTTATTATAATTATAATTTTCTTTGTTTTTTCCCTAATTTTATGTTTTTTTTCATACGTCCCCTAAGTTTCAAAAGTGAAAATTTTTATTACTTTGAATGTGAATTTTATTATTACAAAATCTTGATTTTTTATAAGCAGGGCTCGAACTAGGTCCGTAAATTTGCTTCAAGTCCATAAAGTCCGTAATTTGATTGAGAAAAGATAAAAAGTAATAAAATTCTTTGCAGAAATTCAATTATGTTCAAAATTTTTTTTAAATTATCTTAAAACTTTGAATCATCTTTAGAAATAATTCAATTCTTCTGCAAAATTCAATTATTTAAAAAAAATTTAATAAAATTCTTGATAAAATTTCAATTATTTTTAAAACTTTTCCTCAATTCAATGATTTTTATTATTTATTTCAATAAAATTTTCCAAAAGAATTTAATTATTTAAAAAAAAATTTAATAAAATTCTACGCAAATCTTTAATTATTTTCATAAAATAATAAAAATTTCACTGAAATTCAGTTATTTCCCAATTTTTTATAGATTTCTTCGCAATCATTCAATTATTTTTGTAAATAATAAAATTTTTACAGGGATTCAATTATTTTCATAAATAATAAAATTCTTTTTTGGAATAGAATTATTTTCATAAATAATAAAACTCATTGCAGAATTTCAATTATTTTTAATACAATTTAAATCGAATTCCTCGAAATATGTAATTATTCTTAAAACTGTTATTAAAATTCGTCAAAAGAATTCAATTATTTAAAAATGTATTCAGAAAATTCTTTATGAGAATGCAATTTTAAGAAACATGCAATTCATTAAATTGTATTTTTGTATTTAAATAATTGAAGTCTAGTATAATTTTCTAATAAAAATTGATTTAAAAATTGATTTCAGTTACAAGTTTAGATTATAATTGAATATTAAAAAGATTAGAGCTTGAATTTTTAGAAATAATTGAATTTTTAAAAGGTTTCAAATTAAAATTCGAGCCCTATTTATAAATAGAAATTTAATTTTATGTGTTCAAATACAATATTTTTCATTTCAGTTTAGTAATTTTTAAATTTCCTAAAGTTTTGAACGTCCAAATGAATGAAATATTTTTCTGTGCTTTAATAATTTCAAGAATTAATTTTTAACTGTTTAATTACAATAATTTTCATTTAAGTTTAGTAATTTATAATTTTTCTAAAGTTTTAAACGTTTAAATGAACGAAATATTTTCCTGTGCTTTAATAATTCCAAAAAATTCTTAAAATGAAATGAAAAATATTGTGATTGAATATTTATTTAGCTAAAAATTTTTAATTATAAAAAGAACAATATTTTGCTAATAAAATTCAAATTTAAAGAATTAATGAAAGTATCAAACGTTTTGAACGTTCAACTAGAGGGAATATTTTCTTGTGCTCCAATATTTCTAAAAATTCTTTGACTGAAATAAAAAATATAGTAATTGACTATTTATTTAACTGAAAAATAATTTTTTTAATTATAAAAAAATAATAGTTTGCAAATATTCAAATTGAAAATAATAAAAATATTTACGTTTGAATATTTAGGGACATTTTTCAATTATATTTTAAAAAAACAGAATTTCATTTAAAATTTGAGAGAAACTTTTTGTTTGTTTTTTTTATTAATTTGTTACTAATTAGAATTTGTCTTAATTGAACTCTGATTTGAATTTAGAGTGATTGTAAATTATCAATAAACTGATAATCCTTTTTTTCTTGCAGAGTTCGGGACTGAGAAAGTTGATCTTTGGTATCTACTTTGTCGTAATCGCTATCTTTGCAGCGGTGCTCATAGTAATAGTCGTCCTGGCGCCAATTGAGGATACGTGGAAAACCTGGATGAATAAAATTTAAATTCTCTATTTTTCTCAAAAAAAAGAAGAGCAAACGTAATCACAAAAAAAATTCGCCCATTCGAATTTTGCCCTCCTCCCCCCTTGAGGAAAGCGTATAAAGAATACAAGAAACAAATGATAAGAATCATTTTGAGAAAATATTTATTTTTGTAAGTACTTTTTTCCAAATTCTATTTATTCTTAGTTTTATTCTTATTTTTGTTATTTTTATTCTTTTTTCGTTATTTGTTTCATTATTATTTTTTTTTTGTTTTTGTTCTTATTTTCCGTATTTTTATTCTTATTTTTCATATTTTTATTCTTATTTTTCGTATTAATTTTTTTTTCAATTCCGTATTTTTATTCTTATTTTCCGTATTTTTATTATTTTTATTATTATTTATTATCACTAGTTATTATTATTATTACTATAATTGTTTTTTAAACAATTTTTTGTCTCATTTTGAAAATCGTCGGAAAGTTTACCTTTGAATCTTTATACGTCTTTTTTCTGGGAGTCCCAAAAAAAATTCTGGTTTCAAGCTAGACTGATTGTGATTCGAAGGTAGTCTTGAGATTTGACGGAAAGAAATAATTTATAGTGCAACAAATTGTACTTATTATAATTATTATTATGTATTATATAAAATATGTTTCAAATATTTTGAAGCATTTATATCGATGTCGTAATTAAATTGTGGCATCGCAATTGCGGAAATGAATCTATTTGAATGGTTTAGCCATTCATTATGTCATGCTATTTTTTTATTGAGACAATTTTTCATTCCATGAAATCAATATTCTGTTGTTGATGGAAATTTGTCATTTTATATTTTTCACATATACAGGAAATTGACAAATTCTCCAAAAGTTTTTTTGAAAAAAACTTTTTATATTTAGAAGAGGAAAACTTTGTTTTATACTTAAGTTTGAAAGAATGGTCTTTAATTTAGAGAAACATTTACAGTATTAGATTCACACTTTTTTATTTTTACACTTGTATTGCGTTTATACCTCGATTTTCATGGGCTTCGATATTAATGAGCGTTTCTTTAAATGCAAATCATAAAATTTGTTTTATTGTCTCTATTTGAAATTGTACATAGGAGAGTTTTTCGAAAAATGTTCGTATAGAAGTGAAATTTATATTTTGTTGAATGTCGTTTTAGTCGAAAAAAAGGCCTCGAATTGTTTTCTGCGATATTTTAATATTTAGTTTGAATTTTCCCTGGAGATTGAGAGTTAATTTCGATACATTTAGTGCAGATATTCCAAAATCTGGTCAAAGATTAATTTTGAATATTTGAAAAAATCGATATTAAAATTGCTTTTTGATCTCTGAGGTATCAATTAAAATTTTGCTAATTAATGATTAATTTTGCATTTTTTGATTTGTGAGAATTTCTGAAATTGAATTTTATTGAAATAAGTTGGAATTTTTTCTGTCGATGTTAATTAATTAAATGAAAAGGATTTTATTTTGTGTAAGTTTATAATAGAGAGTGTCTTTTTGGAAATTGTTAATTATTTTTTTTTTATAGAGTAGAATAAGTTAAATTATTTGTTTCGTCATAGATGAATTTTATTGTTGTACTGCCAGAATCATTTTGAGATTCCTGAAGCCATAGTAAAATGAGTGAAGCAATATGATTTCTGGTGAGAGTATCTTGTGCTCTACTATAATATACTCATGAATAAATGATATAAATTATTATTGTAATAATAATTAATTGTTAGGAATAAGGTATATAAGGGAATTTATTAATAAATTGCTGATTTTTAGTAATATATTAGAAAAATTTTTCTCATTTCGTAAGGATCGTTTGTTATTTTCTTTTTTTTTGGAAATAATTTTCTCGTTTGGCTTTTTATCTGTATTTCTTTTCTATTGAATTTATTTGGAATTTTCGAATTTTTCTTTCTTTTTAGGAAATATTTTTTTATGCTTACAATATTTTGTTTCTGCAATTTTTCCTTCTTTGCGATTTTTCCTTGCTGAAAATTTTCCATTTTCATAATATTCCATTGTCTCCTGTTTTATTGACTTTTTTCTTATTTTATCCTATCATCGATTTTCCTCTTCTTGTTTTCTAAAAAAATTGAATATAGAAAACTGGGGAAAAAATTCCTTTTTATTTTTCAAGTTTTCCAGATTTTTTCTTTCAGAGATTTTTTTTTTGTTTGTCTTTGATTTATTTCTCAGCTCTAGACGAGTGTATTTATTATTGATAATTTATTTTTTTATTTTATCATTTCTCTCTCTCTCTTTCTCTTTTTTTCTTTATTTGGAATTTCCTCATTTATTTTTTTCCCCCTGGTATTTCTTCACAAACTCGGTAGTGTGCTCGTAAAGAGGGATATGCGAAAACGAAAGATAGGATTGCGAAACAGATTTTTTACCGTCTTTATCACACTCGTTTCGTATTTTTTTTCGTCCATAGAACATCATTCACGTACTTTATGTTTAGTTATATAAATTTCGTTTATCCCCTAAGTGAAACAACTTTATTTTTCGCTGTCGTGAATTTTGTATTTTCTTTTTCTATTTTTCTTTGTTTCCTGTGTATATTTATATAATTGGGTAATTTTCTATTTTTTTTTTCATCATCTCGTGTGTGAAAAAAAATATCTCTTTTTATTTTTCGTGTTATGAAAGAAAATTTTTTGAAAATTCACAGGTAGCTTGAATTTTAATTAAATGAAATTCACTTTGGAAAATCTGAAATCAGTGGACCTTGTCTATTAAATTTGAACACCTATATAGGGAAGGGAATAATTACTTATCAGAAGACTTTAATTACATTTTACAAAAGAAAAATAAAAAACAAGACTTTGGTCATTGTTTACTTCCGGTCAAATTAGGTCAATCAATTTAATTCTTCCATAAATTTTCTTTTGTGAAATATTTTCGTTTGTAAATAATTCATGATATAGGAACAATTTATTTCCCTAAAGACTCATTAAAATTCAGTGCATTTTTTTTTAAAATGGTAAAAAATATCATTTATTGCAAATTTTTTTTTTTGTTGTTTGAAAAACACATCTGAGACCGTGTAATTGAAAAGAGGAATAAAAGTAGGGGTGGAAATCCATAAATCAAATCGTAAACTCATTCGTTGCTTGTTTACTGTACCAATTTACCGCATGTTGTGTTTTTGGTGTTCCATTTTAACTGCGTTCTTAATACGTGCAAACGAAAATGTAATTTCCGTGACAGAGAAAATTTGCGAACGTGAATGTTTCCTTATTATTTCTTATTTCCTTTTGTTTTCCATTTTTTTTTGGGTAATTTTTTGTTATTGCAATTGAAACAGAAATATAGAGGATTTAAAAATTAATAAAAGAAAGAAAATTTATTTCTTTTTTTTAACTCTCTTGAATTTAAGAGTCTAATTAACAATTCATGATTCAAATAAATAATTTCAAGGAGAAGTAAATATTTCTTGATATAAGTAAATATTTTTTGAGTCAAATAAACATTTCTCGAGTCAAATAAATATTTTTTGAGTCACATAAATAGTTATTGACAGAAATAAACATTTCTTAACTCAAATAAATATTTCTTGAGTCAAATAAATATTTCTTGAGTTAAAAAAATATTTATTGATTCAAATAAATAATTTCTAACCGAAGTAAATATTTCTTGAGTTAAATAAATATTTATCGAGTCAAATAAACATTTCTCGATTCAAATAAATATTTCTTGAGTCAAATAAATATTTCTTGACTCAAATAAATAATTTCCAAACAAAGTAAATATTTTTTCACATAAATAAATATTTCTTGAGCTTAATAAATATTTATCGAGTCAAATAAACATTTCTTGACTCAAGTAAATATTTCTTGAGTCAAATAAATATTTCTTGGATAAAAAAAAATTTCTTGACATAATAAATAAATATTTTTTGAGTTAAATAAATATTTCTCGAGTCAAATAAACATTTCTCGATTCAAATAAACATTTTTTGAGTCAAATAAATATTTCTTGACTCAAATAATTTCTAACCGAAGTAAATATTTCTTTACATTAATAAATATTTCTCTAAAATAAATATTTCTCGACTCAAATAAATATTTTTTGAGTCAAATAAATATTTCTCGATTTAAATAAATATTTCTTGGCTCAAAGAAAATCATTTTTGACAAAAATAAAAATTTCTTGGCAAAAAGAAATGTTTCTCAACTAAAGCAAATATTTCTTGAGTCAAATAAATATTTCTTAGATAAAAAAAAATTTCTTGATATAAGTATAAATATTTTTTGAGTCAAATAAACATTTCTCGAGACAAATAAATATTTTTTGAGTCAAATAAATAATTTCTAATCGAAGTAAATATTTCTTGACATAAATAAATATTTCTTGAGTCAAATAAATATTTATCAAGTTAAATAAACATTTCTCGATTCAAATAAATATTTTTTGAGTCAAATAAATAATTTCTAACCGAAGTAAATATTTCTTGACATAAATAAACATTTCTTGACTCCAGTAAATATTGTTTGGATAAAAAAAAATATTTCTTGACATAAAGAAATTTTTCTTGACCCAAATAAATATTTTTTGAATCAAAAATAATTATTTCTCGTCTCAGAAAAATATTTCTCGCCTGAAATAAATAGTTCTTGATTCAAATAAATATTTCCTAAGTCAAAAAAATATTTCTTGTCTCAAGTAAATATTTTTTGACTCAAAAAAATAATTCTTTACCGAAATAAATATTTTTTGACATAAAGAAATATTATTAGGTATTATTATTGTTATTCATAATCTTAAATAATTAACTTTTTTTGAAACTAAATTTTTAATGAAACTTGACTTTTCGTTTATAATGGATAAAATTTCGTATAAATGTGTGAGAAGAAGACCTAAAGTAATTTTATTTTTTCAAAAGTTGACGAAATAGTGTGGTTTCTGGATTGGAAAACTCTTGTGACGGAAGCTGTGTGGTTTTGAAAGTTTCCTTTTGTAACTGCGAGTAACCCCTGTTACATTAAACTTTTAGTTTTTATACATTCACGTTCAGCAAATTTTTTTTCATTTTTTTGTTTTTCTTTGTAATATAAAATATTTGAAAATTTTTAGGAATAAATAAATGATTACGATTTCTTTTTATATACATTTTGTTAAACACTATTAGGAGAGTTTTTTTTTTCTCTGTTAAATTCGAATTTTCCGGGAAAATACAAATTTGTTTTTAATAATAATTCCTATTATTTTTATTAATTAACTATTAATTAATATTAATTAACTATTAATTAAAAATAATTAATAGTTACTATTAATTGATTAATTGATTAAATAATTAATATTAATAATTGAATACATATAATATTACAATGTAATAAGTTAATTGCCGATGGCCGTAGTCGTTAAGGCACGTGAATTAGTGAGTCGAATCTAGGGTGAGTGGTTCGATCCCCCTCAACGATGAGAGATAAAAAAAGCGTAGAAATCATTTTGTAAAAAATATACGAAAAGTGATTTTTATTTTCTGTCTTTTTCTGATTAGGAAAAAAGAAAATTGAGAAAAATGACAGTTTTTGTTTCAATTAATTTGTCGTGATGAAGAAAAAAAGGAGAAAGTGAAAAAAAAATACAAACATAGCCCTTGAATAGTGATGGTCCCTTCTCACCCCCCCCTGTAAAAGAACTTCCTTCCGCTCTACAAAGTAGAGAGAATTCAGAGAAACACTCAACCCAGACCTTAATCGCGACAGTTTTCTCGACATACAAAAGAAAAAATTTTTTTTTCGGGCAACTTAGATCTCTTGTGTAACTAAATAGTTGTCCTATTTAAAACCCCTGCTTGTCTCTTTCTCTGTTTTTCACCTGTATATTTATATATATATATAGAGCTTTTTTTCGTATTCACGCTCTCGTATTTTCCCCTACTTTCCCCTACTCTCTATTCTGCTCTATTCTTTTTTTTCCCCCTTTCCCCATTGCCTTCTCCTCTCTTTATTCCTCATCGCAGTTTACTATGTAGTCAATTCCCCTCACACACCCGTTTACTATAATTTGAAAATTGCGCGCGCACTCGGCCACCCTCGGTTTAGTTCGTTATTCCTCGTTTTTAACTCCCGATGCCGCCACTGTCGCTCTTAAGCCACAGTTCGATTAAAACCACCGGCCCGGCCGGCGATTACTGTTCATTTTTCCGTGAAAATCCGGCGTCAGTTTTCATTGAACGTGTGTATTGTATATGTATATTTAATTTATTGTCGTTTTTTCCAATTTTTGATTCGGTGGTTAAAATCGCGAATTATCGATTCGGGTGAAAAATTTGGTTTCTGTTCCTTTTTTGTAGGGGAATGGAAAGAAACGTGTTATAATGGAAAGCTCCTGTGCTTGTGATAAGGTGTTTTTTGATAAAAGTGTTTCTCTTTTTTTATTTTGATTTTTAGTTGGAATATATAGATCGAAGGATATATATATGTAAATGTATATATTCATCTTTGATATAGTGAACATATATTGGTGAACATTGGATTATTCCCGGGGATATCAAGTGGAGGCAGAGAGAGAGAGAGAGATGATGGCGAATTTGTGTGTTGCTTAAAAAAAGCAAAGCGACACTTGTTATTTGGATTTTTGAAAGAAAAGGTTTGTGTTCTTTTTGTTTATTTGATGGACAGAGTGTTTTTTTACTTTGAGGTGACAATCAGTTTTGATAATCTTCATATTGTGTCGATTCGGAATCGTTTAGATAAGGAATAATTTTTATTTTTTTCCTTCTTTACTGGTTTTTTTTATCTTATTTTCTACTCGGTCTTTAATTTTGCAAGGTTTCAGTGTAAGCGGAACATTCTTTTATGGAAAGACAGAAGAATAGGATATTTTAGGTTGCAACATTTTTAAGACAATATTGATTTTTTGGGCTATAAGATAACATAATGCTAAATTTAAGATTTGATGGAATCTGAATATAAGGTTATTTTGTTAGATACATTGTTATCGGGTAATTTTAATTTTAAATTCAGAGCAAACTTAATTTCGAGACATAGGTTTTATCTTAGAGTAAGATATTCTTTCGTCTTTCTTTCTATTTTTCTTTGGTAAACAAAAATTTTAAATTCGGAGCAAACTTAAGTTCCAGACACAGGTTTTTTCTTAGAGTAAGATATTTTTACATTTTTATTACTATTTTTTGGGGTTAACAAAAAGTTTTACTTTCAAAAAGAAATCTTGTTTTGAGACAACACTTGAGTCTTCTTTAATTTTGCAACAGTTTGACTAAACTAACGAAAGATTTCATTTGTTATACACTAGAAAAAATTGTTTGACACAGGTAATGAATTATTCGACTATTAAATAAATATTTCTTGGTAGAAGTAAATATTTCTTGAGGGCAGTGAAAATAATTCTTGAGAGAAATAAATATTTCCTGACTTGAATGAGTATTTCTTGGCTAAAGAAAATATTTCTTAAATCAAAAAAATATTTATCGAGGTAAATAGACATTTCTTTAAATTTACTTTTTTAGAATAAATGTTTCTTGACTCTAATAAATATTTCATGACCTTAATTAGACATTTCATGCCTGAAGAAAACATTTCTTGGATCAAATAAATATTTATTGAAGCAAAAAGGCATTTCCTAACTCAAATAAATATTTCTTGAGCTAAAAAAGTATTTCTTGACTCAAATAAATATTTCTTGGCTCAAAGAAAATCATTTTTGACTGAAATAAAAATTTCTTGACATAAAGAAATGTTTCTCAACTAAAGCAAATATTTCTCGACTAAAATAAACATTTCTTGAATCAAGAATTAAATACTTGTTGAGCCAAATAAATATTTCTTTAGCCAAACAAATATTTCTTGAGTCAAATAAACATTTCTTGATTCAAATAAATAATTTCGACTAAAATAAGTATTTCTTGAGTCAAATAAACATTTTTTGACTCAAATAAATAATTCTTGACAGAATTAAATATTTCTTTGGTAAAAAAAATATTTCTTGAGTCAAATAAACATATCTTGGAACAAATAAATATTTTTTAAAAGGAAAGAAACATTTCTTGATTCAAAAAAATATTTCTTGGCTCCAATAAATAATCTTTTTTAACTGAATAAAAAATTTCTTGACATAAAGAAATGTTTCTCAACTAAAGCAAATATTTCTCGACTAAAATAAATATTTTTTGAATCAAGAATTAAATACTTGTTGAACCAAATAAATATTTCTTAAGCCAAACAAATATTCCTTGAGTCAAATAAATATTTCTTGACTGAAATAAATAATTTTCGACTAAAATAATAATTATTTCTTGAGTCAAATAAACTTTTCTTGACTCAAATAAATAATTCTTGACAGAATTAAATATTTCTTTGGTAAAAAAAATATTTCTTGAGTCAAATAAACATTTCTCGACTTAAACAAAAATTTCTATTTTTTATCCAATAATTTTTATTTTTATTAATTAACGTTATATTTGCTTCAAATGCAATTATTAACTTTACAATTAAATTTAATTAGTCATTTAAATTTATTTGAATAATTAAAACCAAATTTATGCTCAAAAGTCAATTTATTTTATTAGTCTTAGGATTTAAAAATAACGCAGATGCAGTAATTCTCTCATATTCACTGATTGTAATTTATTATGTTATTTAATTATCACATTTGCTGATGAATTTTTTCCATAGAACGATTTATTGCAAAAATGTTTTATCTCTTTGAAAATTTTCAATTTTTTTTCCTATTGGATTATTATTATCATTTATTTTTCGATTTAAAATGACTTATAAATGTATGAATGTATAAATGTATAAATTCAGTCCCTTTGATTTCGTTTTTGTTAAAAGTTTTGAATTTTCATTGCTTTTTATTTCATTATCTTTTGAACTAAATTGGTTATGAAACTCGGAGCCCTTGAATTATTATTTTTTACTCTCTTCTCTCTCCTTTTTTTCTTTTTCGTTCTTTTTTCATTTCTCTATATTTATTTTAAAAATACTGTTATAAAATTTTCTCATGTTTTCAAAAAATTTCTATGACTTTATAATGATGATTAAAAAATTGTGTGTATTTGCACTTAGAGAACACGATTCTTTTAATTTTTTAAATTCTCAAAGAGTTTTATTTTGAAAAAGAGGCAGCTTTACTTGAAACTAGTTATTAGTTTTAGAGTTAATAAATAAATAGAGTTAGATAAGATTTTTTTAAAATTAACTTTTTCTCGTGTATAAATTTTAAAAAAGAAAAAAACGTAAAGAACTTAAAGAATTAATTATTAATTATAATATTGATAATATAATAATTTTACTAATTCAAAATTTATCAGTAAAATTGACTATTTCAAAAAGCAAAAATTAGTCACTAATTCAAATTAGTAAACATTTTTACAAATTCAGATTTATAGAGAAACATAAAGAATTTTATATTATTGAATATATTTTTAATTTGTTGATAATGAAGAAATGAATAAAGGGACAAAGAGGAAAAGGAACAAAATTAACTTATTTAAAAGAATAGAAAAAGGTGAAAATTAGTTCTACATTTATATAATGATTAAATAAAAGATTTATGAAAGCAATTACTTTTATTTTTACGACTGCAAAATCTGTAGAAAAGACTTGATGACAAATCGAGTGAGAAAATATTTTACGGGTTTTATCCCTTCCAACTTAGTTAAAGACGACAAAAAGAGCTTTTGCAAGAGAGCGGGAGAAGAATCGATTTTCTGATTATTATAAGGGAAGGGATAACTTGCAATATATATACATGTATATATGTATATATCCAACAGACCGCCGGAGTAATTACTCCAAATATATATATATACATACATATATAACTCGATAATGTAAACAGAGAAATTGATGACGCCTTTAAGCTCTGAATTCTCTGTAACGAAATAGGCTATTTTTTTACTATATAAAGGCACATAAAGGAAGGACAAATATTAATTAAAGAAGATAAAACATTTTTGCAAGAAACTTCACTCAAGTGTCACATTACATTTTTATGTTTAGAGGGCATTCTGTGTCAAAGCGTACCGCTAGTAAAAAGACTATCTAACGCATACAGAGAATTTTTCGAGAAGGTTTTTTTTTCATATAAAAAGAAAATTAAATCCTTAATCCTAAAAAATGAAAAGTTGAGAATTTTGAGGTTGATTTCAGTGAAAGATGTTTTTTTTCTACACTGAAAAAAAATTTATTTGATTCTAATGACTGAGTAGTTTTCTATTATCAAATAAATATTTACTTGAATCAAATAAATATTTACTTGGATCAAATAAATATTTACTTGAATCAAATAAATATTTACTTAAATCAAATAAATATTTACTTAAATCAAATAAATCTTTCTTGCGTCAAAAAAACATTTCTTGATTCAAATAAATTTTTCTTGAGTCACGTAAACGATTATTGACTGAAATAAATATTTCTCGATATAAGGAAATATTTCTCGAGTCAATTAAACATTTCTCGACTCAAATAAATATTTCTTGACATAAATATATATTTCTCGATATAAAGAAATATGTATTTCTTAAGTCAATTAAACATTTCTTCAGTTAAATAAACATTTTTTGAATCAAACAAATATTTCTTGATTCAAATAAATATTTCTTGAGTCACGAATTAAATAATTATTTACTGTAATAAATATTTTTTGATATAAGGAAATAATTCTTGAGTCAATTAAACATTTCTTGACTGAAATAAATATTTCCTAAGTTAAAAAATTATTTCACGATACAAATAAATATTTCTTAAGTAAAAAAAATATTTCTTGAGTCCAATAAACATTTCTTGACTCAAATAAATAATTTTCGACTAAAATAAGTATTGCTTGAGTCAAATAAACATTTCTTAACTCAAATAAATAATTATTGACAAAATTAAATATTTCTTGGGTAAAAAAAAATATTTCTTGAGACTAATAAACATTTCTTGGATCAAATAAATAATTCTGGACAGAATTAAATATTTCTTGAGTAAAAAAATATTTCCTGAGTCAAATAAATAATTTTTTTAATGAAATAAAAATTTTTTTGACTAAAATAAATTTTGTTTAAGTCAATTAAACATTTCTTGACTGAAATAAATATTTATTGACCCAAGTAAATATTTCTTGAGTCAAATAGACATTTCTTAATTCAAATAAATATTAATTCTTGACTCAAATAAATGCTTCTTGACTCATATAAATATTTGTTGATATTAAGAAATATTTCTTGATTAAAATAACAATTTCTTGGCATAAAGAAATATTTCTCAACTAAAGAAAATTTTTTTCGACAAAAATAAACATTTCTTGAATCAATAATTAAATACTTGTTGAGTCAAATAAATATTTCTTGAGAAAAACAATTTCTTGAGTCAAATAAACATTTCTTAACTCATATAAATAAATATTGACAAAATTAAATATTTCTTGGGTAAAAAAAAATATTTCTTGAGACTAATAAACATTTCTTGGATCAAATAAATAATTCTGGACAGAATTAAATATTTCTTGAGTAAAAAAATATTTCCTGAGTCAAATAAATAATTTTTTTAATGAAATAAAAATTTCTTGACTAAAATAAATTTTGTTTAAGTCAATTAAACATTTCTTGACTGAAATAAATATTTATTGACCAAAGTAAA